TTTCGTCCAACTCTCCGCGGGTGTCTCAGGAGGGAGTTGGGATACGTAGATAAAAACACATGTTCACGTTTTCAAGTGTAATGGACAAATATAACGTTTATTATTATTATTAAAAGGTGTTATAAAAGGTTCATAAAGCAGAGAAGAAGAGTTGTGTGTCATTGACCGGTTTCTCTGTTATCTGAAGGCCGTATACTGCTCATATCGTCTACCTCATATCATGAACCATAACACACCGATCTACTGGCAGTGTCCTGGTGTCGTGGCTAGAGTGCATGTTTGTTATTACTCCCTGTGGAGCACTAGATCCCTTGAATACTTCTGAGCTCAATTGGTAGAGCATGGCGCTCGTAACGCCAGGGTAGTGGGTTTGATCCCCGGGACCACCCCTACGTAAAAATGTATGCACACATGACTGTAAGTCGCTTTGGATAAAAGTGTCTGATAAATGGCATATTATTATTATTATTATTATTATTAAAATAAAAAGAAACTCTTACTGTGTACTGCATCGTGTTTACGCTTTCGGACTTCGTCAAAGTGTGATTGTCAAAATAACCTAACTTCATTGTCACTTACTGGTGTGTCTCCAGTGTGATTGTCAAAATAACATAACTTTATTGTCACTTCCTGGTGTGTCTCCAGTGTGATTGTCAAAATAACCTAACTTTATTGTCACTTCCTGTTGTGTCTCCAGACTGGAACCTGACATCGTACGGGTCTCCGTCTCCGTATGAGCGCAACGAGACGGGATTGGTGCTCCCCATCGCCCTGCAGCACCTGGCTCCGCCCTACGTGTCCATCATCGGCATCGGGGCCATCGCCGCCGCAGTGATGTCATCAGTGGACTCTGGCCTCCTAAGCTCCGCCTCCATGTTCTCCTCCAACATCTACAGGAACATCATCCGGAAGCAGGTGAAGGGTTGGGTGCAGGCTTTCGTTCTAGCTCATCACTAACACCTCGTTCTAATAATGTGTGTGTGACCAGGTAGTCGCCTCTACTGTATTGAGTTAGGAATTTAGGGCTGTTTTCCCAGACACAGAGTAATAAATCTATTAGTCCAGAACTCAAAAGCATTCTCAATGGAGAAGATCGATTAGGTTTATTAACCCTGTTCTAGGTCATAGGTCATGTATCTGGAAATCACCACTAAATGCATAGAGAAGCGTTTTTTCCTATCTCATCCATTATTTGGGGGACATTGGCAAGACATTTTTCAATTCACATTAGAATAAATGTGCATCGGGTTCTATGTTGTAATAGTTAGCATTTTGGTACATACAGCTTCACTGGATGTTCCCACTCTATGGTTCTACTATGAGTTGATACTGAATGTACAGGTGCATTTCCCAATATAGCCACAGAGTTATAGCCTTCCGGCTATCCAGTAAAAAAATACTATTACAACACTTTTGTTGAGTCATTGCGTTAGAAGAAATGTGCCCATCTCCAAGGTGTGACGTGGCAGGCTAGCTCAGTTGGTTAGAACGTCATGCTAATAACACAAAGGTCATGGTAGATACCCGTACTGGCCAACACATCTTTTCTCTTATGGCTCTCTGGTGCCCCAGGGACAGAAACATCTGTACACTTCACAAATGTATTTTGTATTGGGTTCTATGGTGTAATGGTTAGCAGCGATCTGAATCCAGCGATCTGAGTCAACATTTTGGTAGGAAATCTGAGTCAACAGTCAATCTGAGTCAACAGTCAATCTGAGTCAACAGTCAATCTGAGTCAACAGTCAACATTTCAGTAGGACCTGTCTGATTATTACGGTGAAATACTCTTCTCCGTGCCCGCTGCTGTATATAGCCTAGAGGACGTGGCTACTGGAAGTTTTTACTATGAGTTGATAGACATTTCACAACAGATTTCCTTTTAGTAATAAAGCTGATTAGCTGGTTAGAGCATTGTGGTAATAACGCAAAGGTCTCAGGTTTGATACCTGTACTGGCCAAGAGATCTATTCTCTAATCTAACTCTGCTGCTTTCTGCTATTTGTCAGCTTGAATACAGCGTAGGATACAAACAGAGGTGGATAGACAATACAGCGTAGGATACAAACAGAGGTGGATAGACAATACAGCGTAGGATACAAACAGAGGTGGATAGACAATACAGCGTAGGATACAGAGGTGGATAGACAATACAGCGTAGGATACAAACAGAGGTGGATAGACAATACAGCGTAGGATACAGAGGTGGATAGACAATACAGCGTAGGATACAGAGGTGGATAGACAATACAGCGTAGGATACAGAGGTGGATAGACAATACAGCGTAGGATACCAACAGAGGTGGATAGACAATACAGCGTAGGATACCAACAGAGGTGGATAGACAATACAGCGTAGGATACAGAGGTGGATAGACAATACAGCGTAGGATACAAACAGAGGTGGATAGACAATACAGCGTAGGATACAGAGGTGGATAGACAATACAGCGTAGGATACAAACAGAGGTGGATAGACAATACAGCGTAGGATACAAACAGAGGATGAAACGATGTTAGGATGAAACAGTCAGAGGTCACCAAGTGCAACATAGCTTCAGCGTGTAAATCAGCTAGAAAGATGTGTCGGCATCGAGTAATTGTCTCTGGCCCCCTCCCAGTTAGGGGGAGTGACGAGCTCTACAGCAGAGTCTCAGCACTCAATCGCTGGTTGAAAACTGTTTTCTGCCCCTCCCAAAAGATAGAATTTGTAGATAATTGGCCCTCTTTCTGGGACTCACCCACAAACAGGACCAAGCCTGACCTGCTGAGGAGTGACGGACTCCATCCTAGCTGGAGGGGTGCTCTCATCTTATCTACCAACATAGATAGGGCTCTAACTCCTCTAGCCCCACAGTGAAATAGGGTGCAGGCCAGGCAGCAGGCTGTTAGCCAACCTGCCAGCTTAGTGGAGTCTGCCAATAGCATAGTCAGTGTAGTCAGCTCAGCCATACCCATTGAGACTGTGTCTGTGCCTCGACCTAGGTTGGGCAAAACTAAACATGGCGGTGTTCGCCTTAGCAATCTTATTAGGATAAAGACCTCCTCCATTCCTGCCATTATTGAAAGAGATCGTGATACCTCACATCTCAAAATAGGGTTACTTAATGTTAGATCCCTCACTTCAAAGGCAGTCATAGTCAATGAACTAATCACTGATCATAATCTTGATGTGATTGGCCTGACTGAAACATGGCTTAAGCCTGATGAATTTGCTGTGTTAAATGAGGCCTCACCTCCTGGTTACACTAGTGACCATATTCCCCGTGCATCCCGCAAAGGCGGAGGTGTTGCTAACATTTACGATAGCAAATTTCAATTTACAAAAAAAAAAATGGCGTTTTCGTCTTTTGAGCTTCTAGTCATGAAATCTATGCAGCCTACTCAATCACTTTTTATAGCTACTGTTTACAGGCCTCCTGGGCCATATACAGCGTTCCTCTCTGAGTTTCCTGAATTCCTATCAGACCTTGTAGTCATAGCAGATCATATTCTAATTTTTGGTGATTTTAATATTCACATGGAGAAGTCCACAGACCCACTCCAAAAGTCTTTCGGAGCCATCATCGACTCAGTGGGTTTTGTCCAACATGTCTCTGGACCTACTCACTGCCACAGTCATACTCTGGACCTAGTTTTGTTCCATGGAATAAATGTTGTAGATCTTAATGTTTTTCCACAAAATCCTGGACTATCGGACCACCATTTTATTACGTTTGCAATCGCAACAAATAATCTGCTCAGACCCCAACCAAGGAGCATCAAAAGTCGTGCTATAAATTCTCAGACAACACAAACATTCCTTGATGCCCTTCCAGACTCCTTCTGCCTACCCAAGGACGTCAGAGGACAAAAATCAGTTAACCACTTAACTGAGGAACTCAATTTAACCTTGCGCAATACCCTAGATGCAGTTGCACCCCTAAAAACGAAAAACATTTGTCATAAGAAACTAGCTCCCTGGTATACAGAAAATACCCGAGCTTTGAAGCAAGCTTCCAGGAAATTGGAACGGAAATGGCGCCACACCAAACTGGAAGTCTTCCGACTAGCTTGGAAAGACAGTACCGTGCAGTACCGAAGAGCCCTCACTGCTGCTCGATCATCCTACTTTTCCAACTTAATCGAGGAAAATAAGAACAATCCAAAATTTATTTTTGATACTGTTGCAAAGCTAACTAAAAAGCAGCATTCCCCAAGAGAGGATGGCTTTCACTTCAGCAGTAATAAATTCATGAACTTCTTTGAGGAAAAGATCATGACCATTAGAAAGCAAATTACGGACTCCTCTTTGAATCTGCGTATTCCTCCAGGGCTTAGCTGTCCTGGATCTGCACAGCTCTGCGAGGGCCTGGGATCGGGAGAGACACTTAAGTGTTTTAGTACTATATCTCTTGACACAATGATGAAAATAATCATGGCCTCTAAACCTTCAAGCTGCATACTGGATCCTATTCCTACTAAACTGCTGAAGGAGCTGCTTCCTGTGCTTGGCCCTCCTATGTTGAACATAATAAACAGCTCTCTATCCACCGGATGTGTACCAAACTCACTAAAAGTGGCAGTGATAAAGCCTCTCTTGAAAAAGCCAAACCTTGACCCGGAAAATATAAAAAACTATCGGCCTATATCGAATCTTCCATTCCTCTCAAAAATTTTAGAAAAAGCTGTTGCGCAGCAACTCACTGCCTTTCTGAAGACAAACAATGTATACGAAATGCTTCAGTCTGGTTTTAGACCCCATCATAGCACTGAGACTGCACTTGTGAAGGTGGTAAATGACCTTTTAATGGCGTCAGACCGAGGCTCTGCATCTGTCCTCGTGCTACTAGACCTTAGTGCTGCCTTTGACACCATCGATCACCACATTCTTTTGGAGAGACTGGAAACCCAAATTGGTCTACACGGACAAGTTCTGGCCTGGTTTAGATCTTACCTGTCGGAAAGATATCAGTTTGTCTCTGTGAATGGTCTGTCCTCCGACAAATCAACTGTACATTTCGGTGTTCCTCAAGGTTCCGTTTTAGGACCACTATTGTTTTCACTATATATTTTACCTCTTGGGGATGTTATTCGAAAACATAATGTTAACTTTCACTGCTATGCGGATGACACACAGCTGTACATTTCAATGAAACATGGTGAAGCCCCAAAATTGCCCTCGCTAGAAGCCTGTGTTTCAGACATAAGGAAGTGGATGGCTGAAAACTTTCTACTTTTAAACTCGGACAAAACAGAGATGCTTGTTCTAGGTCCCAAGAAACAAAGAGATCTTCTGTTAAATCTGACAATTCATCTTGATGGTTGTAAAGTCGTCTCAAATAAAACTGTGAAGGACCTCGGCGTTACTCTTGACCCTGATCTCTCTTTTGACGAACATATCAAGACTGTTTCAAGGACAGCTTTTTTCCATCTACGTAACATTGCAAAAATCAGAAATTTTCTGTCCAAAAATGATGCAGAAAAATTAATCCATGCATTTGTTACTTCTAGGTTAGACTACTGCAATGCTCTACTTTCCGGCTACCCGGATAAAGCACTAAATAAACTTCAGTTAGTGCTAAATACGGCTGCTAGAATCCTGACTAGAACCAAGAAATTTGATCATATTACTCCAGTGCTAGCTTCCCTACACTGGCTTCCTGTTAAGGCAAGGGCTGATTTCAAGGTTTTACTGTTAACCTATAAAGCGTTACATGGGCTTGCTCCTACCTATCTTTCCGAGTTGGTCCTGCCGTACATACCAATACGTACGCTACGGTCACAAGACGCAGGCCTCCTAATTGTCCCTAGAATTTCGAAGCAAACAGCGGGAGGCAGGGCTTTCTCCTATAGATCTCCATTTTTATGGAACAGTCTGCCTACCCATGTGAGAGACGCAGACTCGGTCTCAACCTTTAAGTCTATACTGAAGACTTATCTCTTCAGTAGGTCATATGATTGAGTGTAGTCTGGCCCAGGAGTGTGAAGGTGAACGGAAAGGCTCTGGAGCAACGAACAGCCCTTGCTGTCTCTGCCAGGCCGGTTCCCCTCTCTCCACTGGGGTTCTCTGCCTCTAACCCTGTTACAGGGGCTGAGTCACTGGCTTGCTGGTGCTCTTTCATGCCGTCCCTAGGAGGGGTGCGTCACTTGAGTGGGTTGAGTTACTGACGTGATCTTCCTGTCTGGGTTGGCGCCCCCCCTTGGTTTGTGCTGTGGTGGAGACCTCTGTGGGCTATACTCGGCCTTGTCTCAGGATTGTAAGTTGGTGGTTGAGGATATCCCTCTAGTGGTGCGGGGGCTGTGCTTTGGCAGAGTGGGTGGGGTTATATCCTTCCTGTTTGGCCCTGTCCGGGGGTTTCTTCGGATGGGGCCACAGTGTCTCCGGACCGCTCCTGTCTCAGCCTCCAGTATTTATGCTGCAGTAGTTTATGTGTCGGGGGGCTGGGGTTAGTTGGTTATACCTGGAGTACTTCTCCTGTCTTATCCAGTGTCCTGTGTGAATTTAAGTATGCTCTCTCTAATTCTCTCGTTCTCTCTTTCTCTCTGAGAACCTGAGCCCTAGGACCATACGTCAGGACTACCGGGCATGCTGACACCTTGCTGTCCCCAGTCCGCCTGGCCTTGCTGCTATTCCAGTTTCAACTGTTCTGCCTGCGGTTACGAAACCCCTACCTGTCCCAGACCTGCTGTTTTCAACTCTTAATGATCGGCTTTGAAAAGCCAACTGAGAGACCTGAGCCCTAGGACCATACGTCGGGACTACCGGCCGTGGTGACTCCTTGCTGTCCCCAGTCCGCCTGGCCTTGCTGCTATTCCAGTTTCAACTGTTCTGCCTGCGGTTATGGAACCCCTACCTGTCCCAGACCTGCTGTTTTCAACTCTTAATGATCGGCTATGAAAAGCCAACTGAGATTTATTCCTGATTATTATTTGACCATGCTTGTCACTTATGAACATTTTTGAACATCTTGGCATGGTTCTGTTATAACCTCCACCCGGCACAGCCAGAAGAGGACTGGCCACCCCTCATAGCCTGGTTCCTCTCTAGGTTTCTTCCTAGGTTTTGGCCTTTCTAGGGAGTTTTTCCTAGCCACCGTGCTTCTACACCTGCATTACTAGCTGTTTGGGGTTTTAGGCTGGGTTTCTGTACAGCACTTCGAGATATTAGCTGATGTACGAAGGGCTATATAAAATAAAATTGATTGATTGATAGACAATACAGCGTAGGATGAAATTAGCCCACCCAACTACCTCATCCCTATATTGTTATTTATTTTGCTCTTTATTTATTTTGCTCTTATTTTGCCCAGTATCTCTATTTGCACATAATCTCTTGCACATCTAGCATTCCAGTGTTAATACTATTGTAATTATTCTGCACTATAGCCTATTTATTGCCTTACCTCCATAACTTGCTACATTTGCACACACTGTATATATATTTTCTGTTGTATTTTTGACTTTATGTTTTTTACCCCATATGTAACTCTGTGTTGTTTTTATTGCACTGCTTTGCTTTATCTTGGCCAGGTCGCAGTTGTAAATGAGAACCTGTTCTCAACTGGCTTACCTGGTTAAATAAAGGTGAAATAAAAAAAATAAAAAATAAAAATACAGAGGTGGATAGACAATACAGCGTAGGATACAAACAGAGGTGGATAGACAATACAGCGTAGGATACAGAGGTGGATAGACAATACAGCGTAGGATACAAACAGAGGTGGATAGACAATACAGCGTAGGATACAAACAGAGGTGGATAGACAATACAGCGTAGGATACCAACAGAGGTGGATAGACAATCTTTGGTACAAAGGAACAAGACTATAGCCCACGGGAAGTTCCTACAAATTAGATTTACATTTCACAGTAATAGCCGCCCTACTCACTGTTCAAAGAGAGTAGCCTCCTAAAACTAAAATAATATTTTTTGGATGACTTTTTTTAATTGAGTCATTGCCTTGAACATATGCACATTCCATACCACCTACAAGAGCAGTTAGCTCAGTTGTCATAACATCCTCACTAGTCTAGACTTCCCTTAACTCTGTGCTCCCTCTTCTGACTTCTCTGAGTATTACACGTCACTTGGAGTGAGTGAGGGGGTGTGGGAGTTTGACCAATTGGTAGTGCTTCAGTCTCCCAAGCACCCAGACCAACTATGGGTTGATTCCTTCCATTCACCCACCACTTTCCTCCTGTTCTCAGCTCTACTAATCTATATCCCACTATCTACACTCCATCTGTCTAAATCACATTGAAAAGGAGGACAGGGCTCTGTTTCCATTTAAATAAGGAGGAGTAAAATGTGCAACCTTGAGGATTTGGATAATTATAACTGCTGAACCTCCATCTTGTGTCTGTCTCTCGTTGTAAGATCTGGCATGCCTCAGCAACACCTGGGAAGAGGAACCCGCCCTATAACTGCTGTACCTCCATCTCGTGTCTGTCTCCCCCATTCTCCAGATGTCACACAGGGAGATGCAGTGGGGGATCTGTATCTCATACGTCTATTGAGTTTATAACCACTGTGCCTCCATCTTGGATCTGTCCGGACCACTGTGCCTCCATCTTGGATCTGTCCTGCCCACTGTGCAACCATCTTGGATCTGTCCTGACCACTGTGCCTCCATCTTGTGTCTATCTCTCCTCCAGGCCTCAGACAGGGAGATACAGTGGGTGATCCGTGTGTCGGTGGTGGTGGTGGGGCTGTGTGGGATGGCCCTCACTCTCTTCCACAACAGCACCTTTGCCCTGTGGATCCTGGCGTCTGATCTCTCCTACACCATCATCTTCCCTCAGCTCATCTGCGTCCTCTTCTTCCAGGTGTGTGTGTGTGTGTGTGTGTGTGTGTGTGTGTGTGTGTGTGTGTGTGTGTGTGTGTGTGTGTGTGAGAAACATGCAGAGGTGATATTGTGTGTGTTTTTTTTCCCTGCATTACAAACATGGTGGTGTCACAAGCAAAGATTTCTTATAACTAAACCAAGATAGACCACATCTTGTCGTTTCCAATGGGAACAAATGAGTCATAGTGGGCAGAACAAGCAAGGCGGTGGGCAGAGCCAAGCACGCGCTAGCGATATCCTATTGGCGCATTGTAGTATATATCTGTATATTTCCGTTAGGGAACACCTACTCTGTGAAGTGCGCGTGTGCAATAACTCAATTCGCCTTTGCACTCCTTCTAAACGGCGCGATTTAAAAAAAAAACTTTTGCAAAGGGTAAAGTCTACAAAACTTAGTCCGTTCTGTTCATAACAGATTCTAGTTTTGCGAACAGAAAACTGTATTGAGATCAAATGTTTAATTGATGAGTAGGTTTGCCCCACCCTATTTGGTAGTGAGTGGAAACGCCAACCAGATGCTTCACATTTATACATCCAGTGAAATATCTGTCTCATTGTTCTATCAGTGTCACTAGCCTGAGTGCCAGTCTGTTTGTGCCGTCATCATGCCAAATGTTTGGCTTGACAACTACAGCAATGGAGTTCGCAAGAGCACAAACGGGCCCTAGCCACAAAGCGTCTCAGAGTGGGAGTACTGATCTAGGATCAGGTCCTAACCTGTCCATAGCATCTTATTCATTATGATCTAAAAGGCTAAACTGGTCCTAGATCAGCACTCCTACTCTGAGAGGCTTTGTGGACGCAGGCCCAGGTTATAATTTGCCTGGCTACCCAGACTCCTTGCTCCAGCCAAACGCTAGGCCACGCCCACGGACGTTAGTTTCTTCTCCACAGTGAGTCTGGATCTGAGTACCTCCCCCGATTCTTCACCGAATGGGAACACATTCAGGCCCGTCTGATTGGTCCAGAAATCGATGGGTTGGACCAGAGCCTGAACACGGGTACTCTGATTTGATACTCTGATTGGTTAGAGATGATCCAATCACTGATGACTTTGTTTTGTACAACACTCCTCACGCCCCTCGTCACCACAAACGACTTCAATGATGGCACTCAGACTAAAGTATGTAGTGAACGACAGAGCAGTGGAAGAATTTAGTGTGAGTCGTCAGGCTAGGCTAGAATATCACTTATAAAAAAAAAAAACTCTTCATTTTCCTCCAGGTCTCCAACGGCTATGGAGCCGTGGCGGGATACCTCGTAGGGGGCCTGATGAGACTCCTCTGTGGGGAGCCCATCTTCAACCTCCCGCCTGTCCTCCACTTCCCTGGATGTACCCTGGAGGATGGTGTCTATGTCCAGCGCTCCCCCATCAGGACCATATGTATGCTCCTGGCCCTGGCGGCCATCTTGGGTTTCTCCTGGCTGGCTCAGCTGATGTTCAATAAGGTCTGGCTGCCTGAGAGGTGGGATGTGTTCCAGGTAAAGTTCCAGACTTCGCCACTTGGTGGCGCCAGAGAAAAGAAAGAGAAGGAGGAGGAGGAGGATGGTGCAGTCTCTGAGCCAATGCTTGATACCACAAAGTGTTAAGGGTAATTTTCAAGGGCTGGTTTCCCGGACACTTGCCCTGGACTACAAAGCACTTTATTTGTATTTTTTTTGTGCATATTTGTTGTTTATCGGACAGGATAGACAGAGAGAGGAAAGATGAGATTACCTGTTGAAAATCCAAATAATTCTAAAGCAGGCTATTTAAAATTGATTGTGTAGCTCAATGAAGTTCCTTAGATGATTTGAACATAAAGCGTGAAAAAGGCTAACATCGGTCCCATTGACTTTGTTCCACAAAAGCATGGATTGCTGTCATACCTTGTCCATAGACTGATTACAGGGTAAGGAAATCAATCCTATTAAGTCATTTTTGTCATTTGGGTGAACCAACCCTTTAGTCTAGGAGTAGGCTTAATTATCTGTGTCTGGGAAACGTCATTACCTCATCCCCAATCCTAAACTGAGCCATTGAGGGGTGAAACTAAGATCTGACCCCATATCAGTGATTATTTAGCCTGCCGACTCTTTATTTCATACTGAAAGTCATGTGATGCTCAGTTGAGAGGATCTTGGTGATTATATTTTATATGTACTTTGATATAAACAATTACCCTGCATAGTTAAAATGGTCATGGTGAATTAATTTGCAAGCCTTGTTGTGAAATGTCACTTTTTCTCAATTTGGGGAACTGTTTTGTACAACTTCATTGTTGTTGCAAAGACATTTGTGGCTGTCATGCGTCGGTGTGTAGCGGTAGGACGGAGTCAGGCGCAGGACACAGAACTTTAGTCAACGACGTACTTTACTTGTCAAAAGTAAATAAACATATCTTCCACGCAAGGAAGATAATACCGACTCACATGTCAATGACAACAAAACAACGAACAATCACGCACAACACCATGAGGGAACCAGAGGGTAAAATAGGGACAATTATCGTAATTGGAACCAGGTGTGTGCAATATAGACAAAACAAGTAGAACACAGAAACATAGATCGGTGGCAGCTAGTACTCCGGTGACGACGAACGCCGAAGCCTGCCCGAGCAAGGAGGAGGAGCAGCCTCGTGCTGAATTCGTGACAGTGGCTTAAAAGGTTGTATGATTCAGCTTCACTAGGAGCTCCAGGAAGGCCTAGCCTCACTAAAGTAAACTACCCGATTACAGGAGGCGTTTGAGACCACCATCCTGAACGACCAGGCCAAGCACCACGCCTCCATCAGGCTGGGCTCCTCAGCTATAGTGGCGTGGGGAAGGATCCATTCTAGCCCCGCTGAACAAGTCGATCAGGCCTTCACACCGCCACAGGCTGCCTGCTCTACCCCCTCATCCAGCGGAGCAGTACTGGAGGAAGGTGGGAGAGAAAGGGAGCCGCCACGGCTACTCCCGCTTCCATCAGACCCGGATCTGCAGCTGTCAAACTGCTTCCAGCACCTAAAAAAGCACAGGGAACAACATAATCATCTCCGGCCTTATTCCCTGGTACCGGACGGGGCTTGGATGCTTCAGCCGTATCGATAACTTCAATATCTGGCTAAAGGCTCTGAGCTGTGGGAGGTGTTTTGTTTTGGGACAACTTTGATCTGTTCTGGGAGAGACCCGCTTTCTTTAAAAGGGATGGGATGCATCCAATCCGCAGAGGATCCAGTGTACTCTCCAGCAACATTGCCTTCTGTTTTAAAGACGGGCTGTCTGTCTGTAGTGAAGGCATAGTCCCTTTGCATCCATTTATTCATTCCATCCAACCTGTCCACACTGTCAGGCCCCGACTAGAAACACTACAAACACAGCCTGGATCAAATGGGAGGAATCTCATTGCCATTCAAACTAATCACATCTCAGCTACAGGCGCCCTAAAGTATTACTCAGACTTGGCCTATTGAATATTAGATCTCTCACTCCTCAAGCTGCACTTATAAATGAACTTATTACTGACAGTAAGATAGATATGATCAGTTTAACAGAGACCTGGTATTACTGACAGTAAGATAGATATGATCAGTTTAACAGAGACTTGGTATTACTGACAGTAAGACAGATATGATCACGTTTTAACAGAGACCTGGTATTACTGACAGTAAGATAGATATGATCAGTTTTAACAGAGACTGGTATTACTGGACAGTAAGATAGATATGATCAGTTAACAGAGACCTGGTATTACTGACAGTAAGATAGATATGATCAGTTTAACAGAGATCTGGTATTACTGACAGTAAGATAGATATGATCAGTTTAACAGAGACCTGGTATTACTGACAGTAAGATAGATATGATCAGTTTAACAGAGACCTGGTATTACTGACAGTAAGATAGATATGATCAGTTTAACAGAGACCTGGTATTACTGACAGTAAGATAGATATGATCAGTAACAGAGACCTGGTATTACTGACAGTAAGATAGATATGATCAGTTTTAACAGAGACCTGGTATACTGACAGTAAGATAGATATGATTCAGTTTAAAAGAGACCGTGTATTACTGACAGTAAGATAGATATGATCAGTTTAACAGAGACCTGGTATTACTGACAGTAAGATAGATATGATCAGTTTTAACAGAGACCTGGTATTACTGACAGTAAGATAGATATGATCAGTTTAACAGAGACCTGGTATTACTGACAGTAAGATAGATATGATCAGTTTAACAGAGACCTGGTATTACTGACAGTAAGATAGATATGATCAGTTTAACAGAGACCTGGTATTACTGACAGTAAGATAGATATGATCAGTTTAACAGAGACCTGGTATTACTGACAGTAAGATAGATATGATCAGTTTAACAGAGACCTGGTATTACTGACAGTAAGATAGATATGATCAGTTTAACAGAGACCTGGTATTACTGACAGTAAGATAGATATGATCAGTTTAACAGAGACCTGGTATTACTGACAGTAAGATAGATATGATCAGTTTAACAGAGACCTGGTATTACTGACAGTAAGATTAGATATGATCCGTTTAACAGAGACCTGGTATTACTGACAGTAAGATAGATATGATCAGTTTAACAGAGACCTGGTATTACTGACAGTAAGATAGATATGATCAGTTTAACAGAGACCTGGTATTACTGACAGTAAGACAGATATGATCCGTTTAACAGAGACCTGGTATTACTGACAGTAAGATAGATATGATCAGTTTAACAGAGACCTGGTATTACTGACCGTTAAGATAGATATGATCAGTTTAACAGAGACCTGGTATTACTGACAGTAAGATAGATATGATCCGTTTAACAGAGACCTGGTATTACTGACAGTAAGATAGATATGATCAGTTTAACAGAGACCTGGTATTACTGACAGTAAGATAGATATGATCAGTTTAACAGAGACCTGGTATTTACTGACAGTAAGATAGATATGATCAGTTTAACAGAGACCTTGTATTACTGACAGTAAGATAGATATGATCGTTTAACAGAGACCTGGTATTACTGACAGTAAGATAGATATGATCAGTTTTAACAGAGACCTGGTATTACTGACAGTAAGATAGATATGATCCGTTTAACAGAGACCTGGTATTACTGACAGTAAGATAGATATGATCCGTTTAACAGAGGACCTGGTATTACTGACAGTAAGATAGATATGATCAGTTAACAGAGACCTGGTATTACTGACAGTAAGAATATGATCGTTTACAAGAGGACCTGGTATTACTGACAGTAAGATAGATATGATCAGTTTTAACAGAGACCTGTATTACTGACAGTAAGATAGATATGATCAGTTTAACAGAGACCTTGTATTACTGACAGTAACGATAGATATGATCCGTTTAACAGAGACCTGGTATTACTGACAGTAAGATAGATATGATCCGTTTTAACAGAGACCTGGTATTACTGACAGTAAGATAGATATGATCAGTTTAACAGAGACCTGGTATTACTGACAGTTAAGATAGATATGATCAGTTTAACAGAGACCTGGTATTACTGACAGTAAGATAGATATGATCAGTTTAACAGAGACCTGGTATTACTGACAGTAAGATAGATATGATCAGTTTAACAGAGACCTGGTATTACTGACAGTAAGATAGATATGATCAGTTTAACAGAGACCTGGTATTACTGACAGTAAGATAGATATGATCCGTTTAACAGAGACCTGGTATTACTGACAGTAAGATAGATATGATCCGTTTAACAGAGACCTTGTATTACTGACAGTAAGATAGATATGATCAGTTTAACAGAGACCTGGTATTACTGACAGTAAGATAGATATGATCAGTTTAACAGAGACCTTGTATTACTGACAGTAAGATAGATATGATCAGTTTAACAGAGACCTGGTATTACTGACAGTAAGATAGATATGATCAGTTTAACAGAGACCTGGTATTACTGACAGTAAGATAGATATGATCAGTTAACAGAGACCTGGTATTACTGACAGTAAGATAGATATGATCAGTTTAACAGAGACCTGGTATTACTGACAGTAAGATAGATATGATCAGTTTAACAGAGACCTGGTATTACTGACAGTAAGATAGATATGATCAGTTTAACAGAGACCTGGTATTACTGACAGTAAGATAGATATGATCAGTTTAACAGAGACCTGGTATTACTGACAGTAAGATAGATATGATCAGTTTAACAGAGACCTGGTATTACTGACAGTAAGATAGATATGATCAGTTTAACAGAGACCTGGTATTACTGACAGTAAGATAGATATGATCAGTTTAACAGAGACCTGGTATTACTGACAGTAAGATAGATATGATCAGTTTAACAGAGACCTGGTATTACTGACAGTAAGATAGATATGATCAGTTTAACAGAGACCTGGTATTACTGACAGTAAGATAGATATGATCAGTTTAACAGAGACCTGGTATTACTGACAGTAAGATAGATATGATCAGTTTAACAGAGACCTGGTATTACTGACAGTAAGATAGATATGATCAGTTTAACAGAGACCTGGTATTACTGACAATAAGATAGATATTAACAGAGACCTGGCTGAGACCTGATGAGTATATGTCTAACGCTGTGTT